CCTCTGGATCAATGCTACTGGAATGGATATCTCGTAGGATTACCGAATCTGGATTTGGTACGTCTGTAGTCTAAGCTCGCCTCGGTTATCCTTTTATTTCTTTTCCAGGTCAAGGATCAACGTTGATTATTTGCATGGGGATTCTTGTCAGTTCCTCCCAGTCCCTCTGTAATATGGTCATAAGCTTCTCCAGTAAGTCGAATCTGTTTCAAGCTCGGGTATAAATTCACTTGGTAACAGGATTGGACTTCTCCAAGTGGGGACCCGCTTTGCTCCTTTATGTGGGAGTGTTCTTGACTATGACAGCATGCGCTGTGCTCGTTACGGAAGGACGTCGGATCATCAAGCTTCAGTTTTATGGCTTTGATCGCTTTCCAAGCTCCGGGTACATAACAATTCTTCAGCTTTTTTTTATGTTCTCATAACATGCCTCCAGAGGAGATGGGATTCCGGAAGTGGAGCCTTATATTCCGTTTGACATCAACCCGAATGGGATGCTACCGGTGTATATGTCATCGTATCTTATGGCAGTCCCCAGCTTCCTTGCGAAGTACATTGTCTTAAGAGTGTATTTGATTGTTTTGACGATATCGTCTTGGTGTGCAGCATCTTAAAAACCCCATTCTTACGGCGGTTACAAGTCCTTTTGAATCCAACATTACCCCCTGCGCCTGGCGCAAGACCATGGTTGTACCACACACTGACTGCGTTGCTCATTCTCACTTTCAGCGTCCTCGATGTTGTAAGTTTCTGCTGCTAAGTTTCTTGGGGGAACTATGATCATGTTTAACTTTGCAGAGTGACGGAGCAAAAGACATATCAGAGTACATAAACAGGATAGGGGCAAAGATTGCGGATGTTAAGCCTGGTCGTTCGACCGTGGAATTTCTACGGAAAGTGCAAACCTCGGCTCGCACTTGGGGTGAGCTTTGCGACGCTTGTTTATTATCTTTAGTTTGCCTACTTTCGTGCAGGTGGATTTTTGCTGGCACTGCTAGTGACTGTGTCAACTATAATCGACTATAAGTTGCGGTCCTTGCATCAAACTGGCGGGATCAGCTTTACCTCCATGCTGTTTATTGTAAACCACGTTTTCACGTCTCTCGATTAACTAGTGCGTTTTTTGCCAGGTGGGGACGATCATCGAAGTAAGGCGGTCATTCATGGCTTATCACGCAATGCACACGCTAAGCAATGTACTAAGGCGATATGGCGTATAAAGAGAACGACAGCAAACATTTTCATTCAATAAATGGATTAAAATCGACAAGGTACGTCTTCTTCTTCTTTTTTAGAAAAACTCAGATCCTGGTTACATTTAAGAAGTCCCCATTTTTGTCCATAATGGTTTCTGTATAACATTTTATAAGCTCATAAAGTAAAAGTAACTTTTAAATAAAGAATCATCAATAAAAAGAGTGGTATTGTTTTTCAAGCACTAATGTTTAACCTAATTACCTTTTGATTAATGTACTATTTAATTTGATAAAAAGAGGGTGCAGCTCTAATCATCCTTTTTCATCAAAGCATGGAAAAATACACTTTTTGGAAAATGTTAAAGTGTGGTAACAAGGGAAGAGTGATGCTCAAATGCAACAATGAAAACCATAATAAAAAGTTAAATACTTAAGACAAGAACATTCTATTTTGAATGTTATGCTGAATGAGGTAGAAATTTTGGAAGAGTGTGATAGGAATGTGAATATCATCAACCTTCTTGATGTTACAATAAACAAGGATGGCAACTTCACAGTCTTTAAGTTGATAAAAACAGACTTAAGACATCATAGGAAGCTTGAAAAACATAAGATCAAATTATTCATGAGGCAGATCCTTTTAGGGCTTGCATGAATTTACTCCACACCAGGATATAAAGCCTGAAAAATTGTTAATGAAATGTAGCATGGTGAAGCTCACATACTTTAGCCAAGCACATGGGTTATGGAACAATCTAGCAAATATTTTAGAACACTTTTATATCATTCTCCCAAGTAGCTTAAAGTTGAAAGGGGCTTTTACTCTACAACAATGGATATATAAGCAATGAAGTGTGCATCTGTGGAGTTGATTCTTGGATTTCAATTGTTTGATCCCATAGACTATGAATTTATGAATGAAAAAAATTGGAAATGCGAAATGGTGGGATTGATTGAGGCATGAAATTTATGGCCAGAATTGGATTTTATGGTAGGTGATAAAAGTGTTATGGAGCTTATGGCAAAGATGCTAGAAATGGATCCTCGTAAAGAGGATTTTTGCCCAAGAAGCATTGCAATTTAAGTATTTTGGTTCTTTAAAGGTGGGCATGCCAAATATATAAATGGTTAGCATTGGTGTTTGGGAGAATCTCAATTTGGCATGTATTACTCATTAAAATGTGTATGAAAAGAGGACAAAAAAATACATTACATTTCATATCAAATCCAACGTAAATTAAAACCAACCTTATTTGTCTTCATGTTCTTGTCTACAGAGAGCCATAGTTTAAAAAAGCATACAAAATCTGTGAAACAATAGTTAAATAAGTTATGATTAGAATTTATTCAAATACTCTATTTTGGCCAAATGTAAAAAAAAAAAAGGTGCATTACATTTTGAAAAGAAAAAGAAAAAAGAAATCAAGACATGAAGTTCTTCACTCTCTCTCTTTGCCAAAGATGAAGCAAGTGAATACTGCATGCATCTTCTCCAGGCTCCTCGAGAATGCCCCAGCAGCTGAATCCAGAGGGCTGCCATCCGATCTCTCCTCATCTGGTGCCACAGTGCTGGCCCATCTATTATTTAGTTTTTGTATTGATATGAGATATATCAAAGTGATAAAAATCTTATATTTATATTTTAATATGCAAGTGAAGTGATGCCATCACCACCACAACTTTTTTTTGTGCCACAGCATAAAAATTCCAATATGCATATTGGTCATTGTTTCTTTGGATCTACTGTAATCACAAGCAAACAGCCTTGGAACCACAATCCAGGCATGCTTGACCAAAAAGGCAGGGGCTATGGGTCTTCCTCCATTAGCAGGTACTTTTAGTTTGAAAGCTTGATTGCATTATTTTAAGACAAACTGGTGGTAAGAAAATTGACTTCCTGAGTTAACCTGGGTCTCATCATAGAGCAACCAGAGCTGAACCGCTTGGAATAAGCTCTCTGGCAATGCTGGGGAACAATCATGGTCAGTCGTTTTGTGATATTTGTCCAGAGGTTTCTTGTCTTTACAGGTGGACCTGGTCTTCACATTTGATTCGCGTTCTTGAATCCAGAACGTTTTGCCTGAGAGGAGAGGTAGTTTCCAGAGACAAATTCTTCGTGGCTATGGCCATCTTCCATCCCATTGAGCTGATCCAGGACGTTGCTCAGGTTCAAGAGTGCTTCATCCTGCTTGGCTCGCTCATCCTTCCCAATGATTCTATCTTAAAGCTGTCTAAAGAGCTAGATCATAGTGTGGCTGCTTGAGGAGCTCACCATGGACCCACCAGTAATGGAGAGCTTCGCTCCACCAGCCTTGATGTTGTCTGGTACTGAGCTGGGCTTCTCTTGTGGCTCCAGTTACGTGCTTCTGAATTGTCCAGCATCTTGAGCACTGACTTACTGGCCCACGGAGGATCCGGTAGGATAACTCTAATTACTGACAGGACACCCTTACCGCATAACATAGAGCATGACGCAGAAGAGAATTTCCTCCTCTCAGTGTAAAGTCATAGAAGGGGCAAGTAAAGCCATTACCATGGCAACAACAAGCACTCTTGCTCAGTGTAGCCAAGCATAGATCATCACGACTCTGGCATCTTGTGAAAAGATTGACTTTGCAGTATGAGTGAGATCTAAGCAAGAAGTTGATCAAAACACTGACTAGCAATGCACAAAGAAAGAAAATTGCAAAGAAAACCTACTCATACTCAATAGATTTGCCAATACAGCGAGTGAAGTACGGTTGACAAGAATATTTTAAAAATATTTTGGCACAATAATGAATATTTTGTTAGTGGCAATATTTTCTCTTAAATAGGTATTTTAAATAAAATTAAGAATTTAATAATATTTAGATTTGTGTAAATGACATCTTAGTGGCAATAGTTACTATTTAATAGAGGTTTTGCTTTATCACCTAATTTACAGAAGAAATTAGTATTTTAATATTTATTAATTAGTATTTATACTAATTATTCAAGTACAATATGAGTGCATGGAATATAGAAATGGAATACATAAATGTGAATATCAATTAACCCAAAACCTAGTTTATATACAGGAGCATTTAAAGTATCTCAAATTTTTTTTCTTTTTTTATTTTTAAGCTTCCTGGAATATTTTGTATTACTTGATCATTATGTTTTTTTACTTGTTTATTTGTATAAAATACATTTTTTGCTATTTATTATTAATTATCTCTATATTTTCTTCATTTGTTTCAGATGTTCTTATTCCATTTAGTATTTTATGAATTTCTTATCATCCTTTTGTCTCATTATTTCTGTAAGTTCATAACATGTCCTTCCATGGATTGTTTATTAGGAGAAAACTTCACTGTGACAGGCTCCATAATAGAAAAAGTGTTATAAAGCTTGAAGAGGGATGTTTTCTATCATATTAGTCTTGTTTGTAATTGTTATTGACATTTTTGGTATGGACGAAGAAAATTAAAAAAGCATGAATTAGCATTAACCATCATTAAAGATGACCTTTTTATTGATTTTTATCCCAGGTATACACCATTTTTTATATCTTATCCACCAACACCACCATTTCTGTTAAATTGACCATACAATATCCATCATTAACAGGGTTGAGAAACCATGCAACTACAAGCACACACACACACTTCCAGAAACTTCGAAAGCATGTGTTTAATTTAATAGATCCTTTTTTGTCATATCAACTTGAGACTACTGGATCCTTAAGCTCTACAAATGGCTAAGATTGCTTTTGCTTTTATTAGAGAGCTGCAAATATTCCACTGGTCAGCTTGAGGCAATTTGCTAGGCACCATCTTTTTCACTTTCTTATTGTCAATCAGGCTACATTTTGTCTTTGATAATGAAAGTTCCGTGAACAAGCACCACCGTGACCTTAGCTTTGATCAGTTTACCTTGATAATCTAGAAGATATTCCCGAATGGAGCAAACTCCCGGACCTCTCACTACCACCCATTAGCTGGAGCTTGGTCTCCATCCCAAGAAGGCATGGAGGATCTGGCCTTTCCATCCCAGTAGCAGCCACCCCTGGTCCCTGTGAAGCTCAAAGCTTTGGTGATACATACCCATGAGCGATTCCGTGTCGTGGAACAGCAGCTCAAACTTGGCTCACTGCGTCCTCGAGTGCCACTGCTTGTGAGTCTCCGCTCGCTCCACTTGCTCCAATCTCTCGCACGCCACGATGTTGACGATCTCCCACCCGTTCTTCTCCTGCTCCAGCAAGTGCCGCTCCTTGCTCTCCGGCTGCGAGCAGCAATCGATGGCTTCGAAGAGCAGTGTAAAGTGTGTCAGCGCCTCGAGGAACCACGTCATGAAGAAGGGGACGTTGTAGCTCGCGTTGTTCATCCCCTGGACGAACACTCTGGGATTCAAGCTCCACACCCAGTTGAGCCACACTTTCCTCGGGCTCTCGGCGAGAATGGATTCGTCAAGCAAGTTGGTCCTCCACAACGTGGAATTCAGCATGAGATTGACTTGGTTCCTGGCTAGAACTTCATCGTCACTCAGGAGCAGCGTTGCTGCATCGATGTTCTCCCACTTCTTCGACATGGCCCGGAACTTGAAAGGCAGCCCGATCGACTGCGCGTACTCCCGGAGCATGCACCCCACGTCGCTGGCGCTGCCACCCCCTGGTAATGGAGAATCGATGCCGGTGATGCGCAGATACGGAGGACCGCCCGGAGTATTCGCCAGTTCTTGCAACTGGAACCCGAAACAGGCACCATAGTCGACAATGTGAATCCGCTGGTGACCTCTACACGCGTTGAGGATGACTTGATTCGGGAGACAAGAACGGGCTCCGTTCCATGATGTACTCGACCGACTTGAGCATCGCTCCCGCGGTTGGCCTCGCGTGACACATCGCCGTGAAGAGGCCATTCCCTGTGGCAGACACCCTCGCCCTCCACCAAGAGGTTGGCCCGCATCACGTCATGGGAAGAGACGCTCGACGAGATCCACCATCACGTAAGTTTCAATTTTGTTTTCTCATAGTTCTCTCTTTTAAGTTTTAGTTTGTCTCACTCGTTATGGGGAGGATTGCTGTTCTACCCGATCGGATGCTGGATCGTTGAAGCTCCAAAGCTGTAGACCAAGAGCATATGCGCCAAATACCAAGAGTCATGCCTGGCTCACAGGTTCGTCTTTGAGACCTTCACTTGCTAGAATATCTAGGTGCTGCCAGGACGATCTTTTCAGAACAGTTACGTTGGACGCACAACTCATCGCCCTCGGAAGTTAGGTCTCGAGAGTTGGAGGGGAAGACCCAAGGTTTTTGGAGAGGAAGATCCTTTCGTCGAACTCGAAGCTTTCAGTGTCTTCTCTTCCAAGGGAGAAGATGATCAGGCAAGTTTCTCGGCTGACGCCACGACCAAGTGGCCCGATTTTAGATTCTTTCCAAAGCGGAAGGTGTTTTCGAGAGCATTTTCCGCAGAGGCTCGCGACGTAGCAGTGGAGATGCGAGCGCTCTTGCCAGGAGGCCCAAGCAACTACGATGGTCGAGAGTTCGCCAAGGATATGCTCAAGGGTTTGACAGCGAGGCAATTCGCACAGCTTAGCAAAAGTTTGCGATGACGACGTCTATCACTTCCTCAGCTAACTAAGAGTTTTGGTGATGGCGGGGGTATGGCGAGCTGAAGGAAGGGCCGGTAAGTCTGGGCGAGCAGCGCTATCCCAGCACAGCATGGAGTCCCGTGATCAAGAACAGGAGGGATCTATACCGGCGGAGCTAGACCGAGCATGGGAAGAAGAAAATTTAAGAAGTGGAAGACTGAAAACTTCCCATTCTTCGTCGAAATCCTGGCTGAGAAGCAGCAGCTCAAGCCACTGATTGGCAGAAGACATAGCATAGACAAGAAGAGCTTGACAAAAGAGCTGAGCGTTTGGTCCTCTCATTCCTCTTTTTTGTCTAACGTCTTTCATTTAAACAAGACTCCGGAGAACAAAAACTCTTGACTTTCCAAACTTTTCTACCAGCAGAATCTTATTGATTTGCCCGGGCTTGCGACGTTCAAACTTTCAGATTCAATGATTAGACCAAACTTACACATTCACTAATAAGGTTTATTTTCCTGCCTACAAAATCTATGAGGAGAAGAAAACAAAGGAAAAAAAAAATCCAGGGGAAAGCTCTTTGCCACTGCAGGCTGCGGAAAGAAACACTTAAAGACGAGCTTTTGCGATTACCACATGAGCAGCAGCCACTGCATCATCGCTTCCACTGATTGACAGACTGTCTGCAATCTCTGACAACTAAGAAGAGTGACACCTCTCTCCAAAGTTTTCTCGTGCGAGGCAGATCCAATGCGTGAGTACTGTCTAGATCGGATGATATTTCCCATAAGCTGGCTGTACAAATTCCGCACAAACAAAATCAAGCACGTTGCAAGCAAAGTCCCTTGCAAAAGTAGAGTACACATTATCGTCAAGAATGCGACCATCACCTGGATTGCCACACAGTAGCTAACAATCGCTCGAAAGCTTTGACAGACCATTTTGAGTTTGGAAGCACCTCCACTGTCGTCAGTGTCAGCTTCCTGAATCATCGATGTTCGTGCCCTCCCTCATGAGCATTTCAGGCCCTGGAACCTTCTATCAACTTCATCTAGATCGTGATCTAAAGGAAGAAGGAAATCCATCAAAACTTTTGCTTAAACCATCGACCACTATAAAATATTCTTTATATTATGGTACAACATGGATCTTTTAGGGTTGGCCAATCTGGAATGGAAGAGCAGGCGAATGTGGATAGCCTCCTCAAGGGTGTGAAAGTGCCGCCGCGCTTGAGAGAAGCCGTGGATGCCACGCTCGAGTTGCGGAGGGTCATCTCCGCCTTCAGGCACAGTTGCTTCTTCTCTGTGGAGGGTGGAGCTCTGTTCGAGACAATTCAAGCGTGGTACGTGAAGAAATACGTGCCCAGTTCCAACCTGAAGGAGTACCCCAAGGTACACACTGTTTTTCTCGCTGTAGAGTTTAATTTGCTGCTTTAGGACCTGGAGGAAAGGAACCCATATGCACGGTATAAGACTCAATTCCCAAAGGCTGCAAGGGCGTGGTCCTCAAAGCTGGATTTCTTGCTTGATGAAATCCCGCTCTGCGACTCATCGCTGCAGTCGCTTGAGCGATGTAAGTTTCCCTCGCAGCCAGATGAAAACACTGACAAAAAGAACAACAGGGACTGTAAGTGCAGCGGAGCTGGAGCAGCTCCTGCTAGACCTGGATGACGGCGGAAGGCTTGCTCCTCTTATTACTGTGTGCCCTTACCTTACACACTTGGAGAACGTCTACATGGCCGTGTTAGACGCGCGGCTGTGGCTCAGCTATTCAGAGCTTCCTGTCGAACCTCTTCGGAATAGCGGATCATGTGAGTGAGCCTTCAGCATTCTTGACTTTTTAGTTGCTCATGCATGGTTCATAGACAAGGCAATTCGTATGGGGTCCGCTCGACCTGTGCGGCAGCTGCAGGGCAAGCCTCCCTCCCCCTTCTACGCCCTCGTGATGCGGCGTGAAGCGAACAACTCCTTGGGCATGCTCGGCGACCCGGGTTCGACGGTGTACTACGTGACGCCAATGGATTTTGAGCCAGAGAGACGTGGCTGTTACATGGCGAGGATGTCGAGATTGGGGCGGGGCTTCATGCGCAAGCGCGGGATGTCACCAAAACAGGTTGCAGCAAGCCTGGCTGCAACGCCCATTGATGATAAGGAGTTCAAGGACCGCTTCCTCAAGCACAATAAGATGACAGAAACATCTTCCATGGCCAAGCTCCTGGCTCACCACATATATGACATCAGTGTCTAGTGGCCTGTTTTGTTTCTGCTTGTGTGGTCTTTCTTTCAGTTGCTGCCCCTTGACAGCTTTTATCCAGATCTTTTTTAAGATTGAATAGCCACTGGACCTTCATGCACCGTTTGTGATCGTTATTTATGATAAAAAGGTATAGAAGTATCATGTCTACAGCTTGAGTAGCATCATGGTAATAACTGACCTCTAGATATTCCATCTTATGAATTTGATAATTGATATTATTTAATAGTATTGTGAGGTCGAAGTGTACAACTATAATGCTATATACTAATATTAGTGTAGTGGGATTTTGATAGCTGTTTAATTAATTTCAATCTGGACCACTTTTATATATATAAACTAAGGTTTTGGGCTAATTGATATACACATTTTTATATTCCATGCACTCACATTGGTGGAGATGAAGTGTAACTTTGATAATCTTTTATAAGATGTCATCTTTTCCACTTTTTATTGCATGTCCTTTAGCTCCACTTCTTATGGGAGATAGTCATATTCCAATAGAGGTCCATGTTATTGCTGCTTGAGTTCAAGGACAAAAGCAAAGATGTGGTGATGGCTGTAATGTCCATTGCTATGTATGTGATGAAGTTGGTCACATTTATTAGCATTGTCGACATTTTTTGAATTAGTGACCTCCATTTCTTAGGTGGAGACTTTGGCATCAATAACATCTTAATGTTATAGTGCACTTTATATTTCTCTCCTTAAGTCAACTGGAAAAGGGGTAATTGTTTGATGAGAGAAACTTTAGTGGCTATTTTATCCCCATTTATCCCTCAAGGTTCCAAAATAACAATATATTCAAATTTCATCCCATGATCATATGTGCTACACTCTTTCAGAGATGTTAATTTCCTCATTGATTATTGACTATTGACTAACAACCCTCACTAAATTAAGGAGAACTAGCATCTCCATTTTTGCATTAAATCTATCAATCTTTCTATTGTGTAAATTAACTATTCTATATAAGGCAACTAGTCATCCACCCGTACCGCAGTCCTATGGTAGATACCTTTGTCTGTGGATGCTCTACAAAATGAAGGATGTACTCATAAATGCTCAATATGTACGATTTCAATTTTAGGGGTAGGAATATACTTTGTTCAAGGGTATATTATATTTTAAATAGCCACCAATCAATGAGAATCAAACCCATGATATTTTCTCTGATACTATATATAACACATCCTATCTCTCTCCCTTTAAACCAATTGAAAAAGGGGCAATTACTTATTGAGCGAGCCCTTAGTAGTTATTTTATTTCTATTTATCTCTCAAAGTTCCAAGGATCCACAATGATAGTATATCTAAATCTCATCCCATAATTACATGTGTTATAGGTGCCAAGGTGCTTTCGGGAAACGAATAACAAAAAGTTTTTGCATGAATAAGTTAGTGACCCTCTTTCTTTCTTTCGGGAGTATCATTAAAGGGTTCACTCCACATTAGTTCATCCAATATTTATTTTCCAAGCTTGTCTTTACACTAAGAGGTCTTCTATTATTCTCTCCATATTAATTGATATAAGCTCAAGTTTATTTTAACCTATTACCATACATTGCCATTTATATTTGCATTAGTGTGGTAGAGCTAGTTTTCATTTTTTATGGCAATGGCTATACACACGTATATGCATGGGATGAAGTGAATATACTTGTGCATGTGGGTGATCTCGAGCTTGAGCTATAGTCATTGCGGGTGGTGCCAAGTTAAGCTTTTGACTTCATCTTTGGTATGGATTGGTTGCAATGCAATTATGTAAAGTATGACTTTGAGACTTTTCCCCTTTATATCATATTTCTTTATATTTTTTTCATTCCTTTCACTTTTGTTCTTCTTTGTTCCTCTTTATCTCTTTACTTTCATCACTTTTATCTTCATATTACTTCCTTTTATGTTTCCATTTTATTCCTTTATTCCCTCTTTAAATCCCTCTTACGGTTTTTATGTTGCAGTGGTTGACTAGGTCATTAAGGAGTATATCAATCTCTTTGAATTTGAATCATCTAGGGCCAAAATTACAACACGTCATCTTATTATAAGTGGGGATGCTTGTCTAATCAAGGTTCTTATTCGTCATCAGTCATCAAAAGAGAACAAAATTTTACATGTAAAC